GAGGGAATTACTAGTGATATGAGCAAATTCGCCGATGACACAAAGATAGGTAGGATAATTGATTCAAACGTAGATGTTATGGAACTTCAGGAGGATTTAAACAAACTCTATTCTTGGTCAGAAAAGTGGCAGATGCAGTTCAATGTAGATAAATGCAAGGTTCTGAAGCTTGGGAGTGCCCATAACCCTAGTACTTATAAGTTAAATGATGTAGAACTTAGCCATACAGATTGCGAAAAGGACTTGGGGGTTATGGTGAGCAGCAACCTTAAACCAAGACAGCAATGCCTAAGCGTACGTAATAAGACAAATAGATTACTGGGATTTATATCAAGAAGTGTAAGCAACATAAGTCCAGAGGTCATACTGCAGCTTTATACATCATAAAGGTGGTGACCCTACAGACTTAAACAACTATAGGCCAATATCTAACTAACCATTGCTATCCAAAATCTTTGAGAAACTTGTGCACAGGAGACTGTATTCATTTATAACGGCTCAAAACATACTCAACCCCTGCCAGTTTGGATTCAGGAAAAATAAAAGCACTAATGATGCAATCATAAAAATGCTAGATCTGCTTTACACAGCACTGGAAAATAAGGAATATCCACTAGGAATTTTTATTGACCTAAGAAAAGCTTTTGACACAGTAACCACGAAATCCTACTCCACAAACTTGACCACTACGGTATAAGAGGCCATGCGCTTGCTTATTTCAAATCTTACATTACTAATAGGTATCAGTACGTCACTATTAAAGACACAGCATCAGCAACACGGCCACTTGATACTGGAGTTCCGCAGGGAAGTGTCCTTGGTCCCCTGCTCTTCCTCATATACATCAATGACCTACCAAACGTATCCCAACACCTAAAACCCATTCTCTTTGCTGATGACACGACTTATGTCATCTCTCACCCTAATCTTGCCACCCTTAACACCATTGTGAATGAGGAGCTGATTAAAATATCGACTTGGATGACAGCCAACAAACTTACGCTTAACACTGACAAAACTTACTATATTATGTTTGGTAGCAGAGCAGGAGATGCACAAATTAACATTAAGATTGACAACACTCTAATTACCAGAAATAATGGGGGAAAATTCTTAGGCTTATACCTTGACAATAACCTGAATTTCAGCACCCATATCCAGCATATAGCCAAAAAAGTATCCAAAACGGTTGGGATCCTCTCCAAGATACGATACTACGTGCCGCAAAATGCCCTTCTCACACTATACCACTCACTTATTTATCCATAACCTCACCTATGCTATTTGTGCTTGGGGATCAACTGCAGCAAACACACCTAAAGCCAATAATACCCAACAAAAAGCTGCAGTAAAGAATAATCACTAAATCGCATCCCTGGCAGCACACCCCCCCCACTCTTCAAAGATCTAAACTTACTCCCAGTTCAGTACATCCACACTTACTGTGCAATCTATATCTACAGGGCCTTAAACTCTAATATCAACCTTGACCTTAAACGCTTTCTTGATAGTTGTGACAGAACCCACAGGCATAACACCAGAAACAAACATCTCTATGACATTCCCCGTGTCCGACTAAACCTTTACAAAAATTCAATGTATGTCAAAGGCCTAAAATCTGGAATACCCTACCTGAGAACTCTAGAACTGCAGACACATTCATCACCTTCAAAACTACCATTAGAAAACATCTTATCTCCCTGATACACCCCGTCAACTAACTTCACGAATACCACCTGGTGGTTCACACTTACACTCGCTCACTCATTTGACCATAAACAGAAATATTATCTCAGTCTTAATATAATGAATCCTGTGATACTCCAATACTGAAACTATATACTGTGCCAAAACAAAAGCATTCACATTTCTAAACTCACAAAATAGTATTTAGTCACTTAGCCATAATACCAACTTACCTCATAATTTGTAATATTTTACATTTAAGAATAAAACTAAGTATGCCCGAAATGCCTAGCCATGCTAAGCGTTCTAGTGGTACACTCTGTAATCTCAATTTTACTACATGTTAAACCAAACAATAACCAAATTTCTGTAAACTCAGCATTGTAATCCTTATAGAGAATAAACTTTGAATTTGAATTTGAATAGTAAGGCCTCACCTAGATTATGCAGCTCAGTTCTGGTCTCCATATTACAGAATGGACGTAAATTCGTTAGAAAACATTCAGCGTAGGATGACTAAATTAATACATAGCATTAGAAATCTTCCTTATGAAGAAAGATTGAAGACTCTTAAGTTACATTCACTTGTTAGAAGAAGAATGAGGGGAGACCTGATCGAAGTGTATAAGTGGAAGATAGGTATTAATAAAGGGGATATTAATAAGGTCTTGAGGATGTCTCTCCAAGAGAGAACCCGCAGTAATGGATTTAAATTAGATAAGTTTAGATTTAGAAAGGACATAGGAAAGTATTGGTTTGGAAATAGGGTAGTTGATGAGTGGAACAGTCTACCTAGTTGGGTTATTGAGGCTAGGACTTTGGGTAGTTTCAAATTTAGGTTGGATAAGTACATGAGTGGGAGGGGTTGGATTTGAGTGGGACTTGCACATCAGAGCTTATTTCTTGGGTGGCATTGAAAATTGGGTTGGGCAAATGTTTTGTTAGTGGGATGAATTGTAAAGGACCTGCCTAGTATGGGCCAACAGGCCTCCTGCAGTGTTCCTCCTTTCTTATGTTCTTATGTTCGTGGTGGTTCGATTTTGTCCTGGTTAGGGCAAAATCGAACCACCATGAACTAGTCAATGCAGGTAACGGCTTAATAAGGCTCCTGGAGAGCGAAACGTTGCCACAATAAAATGTTACATTAGTTGCATTGTGTCCTTTTACCTAACATTGTCGGTAATTCTACCAATATCAATACGATTTTCATACAGTTGAGTTGCTTAGTTTTAGTTTTTTAAGATTATAATTCTGACTGATTTCTGCTGTATCTTATAGCTAAGCTTTAGCTATGGAAATAAGCCACTTCGTCTGACTTCTTTTTGGTTTATCCTGGGTAATTTACACTAAATTTCTGTAGCTGTACTTATGAGTATCTATGTATCGATTTTGTCCTGGTTAGGACAAAATCGAACCACCATGAACCAGTCAATGCAGGAGTTTACACTATAGCTTGTGGAGGCTGTGACAGGATACATGTAGGTGAAACAGTTAGGAAGCTTCAAACACGCCTCAATGAACACAACGCATGTAGGAATGACAACTTGAGCAATGCCTGCATACAACACCTCATGGGCCAGTAGGCTTGTTGCAGTGTTCCTTCTTTCTTATGCTCTTAGTACAGTAGTTCTTGTCACAGAATTTAAATTTGGTTAGGTCTACATCAGCTGATGGCTCAGACTTCCAGAGGTACCTGCAGCCCAGCCAGAGCCTGGCAGCAGCCCAGCCAGAGCCTGGCAGCAGCCCAGCCAGAGCCTGGCAGCAGCCCAGCCAGAGCCTGGCAGCAGCCCAGCCAGAGCCTGGCAGCAGCCCAGCCAGAGCCTGGCAGCAGCCCAGCCAGAGCCTGGCAGCTGCCCAGCCAGAGCCTGGCAGCTGCCCAGCCAGAGCCTGGCAGCTGCCCAGCCAGAGCCTGGCAGCAGCCCAGCCAGAGCCTGGCAGCAGCCCAGCCAGAGCCTGGCAGCTGCCCAGCCAGAGCCTGGCAGCAGCCCAGCCAGAGCCTGGCAGCAGCCCAGCCAGAGCCTGGCAGCAGCCCAGCCAGAGCCTGGCAGCTGCCCAGCCAGAGCCTGGCAGCTGCCCAGCCAGAGCCTGGCAGCAGCCCAGCCAGAACCTGGCAGCAGCCCAGCCAGAGCCTGGCAGCGGCCCAGCCAGAGCCTGGCTGGCAGCTGCCCAGCCAGAGCCTGGCAGCAGCCCAGCCAGAGCCTGGCAGCAGCCCAGCCAGAGCCTGGCAGCAGCCCAGCCAGAGCCTGGCAGCTGCCCAGCCAGAGCCTGGCAGCTTCCTGGAAGCGTTGTAGACAAGTGTAAGTTTATTTAGGTACAGATACACACAAGTACAGTTACAGAAATTTAGTGTAAATTACCCAGGATAAACCAAAAAAAAATCAGACGAAGTGGCTTATTTCCATAACTAAAGCTTAGCTATAAGATACAGCAGAAACCAGTCATAGTTGTTTTAATTTTTAAAAATATAATTAAGTAACTCAACTGTATGAAAATCGTATTGATATTGGCAGAATTACCGACAATGTTAAGTAAAAGGACACAAATGCAACTAATGTAACATTTTAATGTGGCAACATTTCGCTCTCCAGGAGCTTTTTCCAGCCGTTACCTTGATAAAGGTTACCGCTTGATAAATTTCCTGGAGAGCGAAACGTTGATATATTAAACATGTGCAACTCTTGGGTATCTTTATTGAGGAAACGTTTCGCCACAGTGGCTTCATCAGTCCATACAAAGGAGAAACGTAAAGAACAGGAATGAGAGTGAGGTAATCAGTCCCTCAACCTTGAGTCGATGTGGTTCTCTGAACCATTCATCTACAGGAGCGAAACGTTACCACAATAAAATGTCACATTAGTTGCATTTGTGTCCTTTCACTGTATGAAAATCAGTTACGGTAAAAAAGAAGTGCAAAATTAGATAAAGTGAAGATAGTTATTTATATGAAGAGTGAACGAAGAAAATCAGGTACAAGGAGGTTAACAATACAGGAAATTACTTTCCTTTTCAGTAGCTTCATTCATTAAGAAGTTTTTATCTTCCTGAACTGGTTCATGCTACGACTTATGATGATTATCTTTAAAGGTTGAGGTGGGTGGAATTTAGTGATAGAAAGAGCTGCTCAAAATTTAAGGGGCTTGTGCTCGATTCCATGGCTGAGCGAGAATTTTTGTGAATCTCGTAACACCTGCCTTTGTTCACCTAGCAGTAAATATATAACTTGTATTTAACCAACTGTTGTAGGTTGCACCATGCAAGAAAACCTATAAGGAACCCAACGGCAATAAGGGACACTGCTTGACTTTCTGTGTTACCTGGGGTTGTTAACCCTCTGGGGTTAATAATCCGAATAAAGTAGTCCAAGTCTAGAGGCTCTGATGCGTCATAGTAGGCAGACACACAACTCACTTCCTGTCCCGGAGCTGCCTTCCTCGCACGCTCTTAACAATAGTATTTTGAAGACTGTACCGAGATAATTGTTACTCCCTGGGAGCGTCAGTAAGCGTCTCCTGCAACACCTCACAACGTAGACTGCGTTGTGAGACTGGGAGATGAACGGGAGTCGCTGAGACTCGACTCTTACAACCACATACAAGAGTCGTCAAGAGTGCGCAGCCGCAGCCTCCACTTTCTCCAGACAGGCTGACCCGTCCTGCTGGTTACTGCCCAAGTGAGAGTGTTGGACCACCCCCGACCGCAACTCCAACCCATCAAGGTTGGCAAGGAATAGAGAAATGTAGGAAAAGAACATTGTCTTCCTTTCTCCCCTCCTTCCTTACAATTCCTCTCGGTACCTTTCTCTAGTTTTAGTTGTGCCGTGTGAGCGGCTAGTTCATTGCGAAACCTATTCTCATCTCGTCTCTTTCATCCTTTCTCTCATTCCCCGCCTCTCTCTTCTTCCTTCCTTCACTCCGTGAATACCTCCCTCAGTCATTGGCTAGCAGTTATATCGTGGGCAAAATGACAGTCATGTACAAACACAATGCAGCCTTGCTGTCTGCTGCCTGGCTCACACTGCGTGCTGTCTGCTGCCTGGCTCACACTGCGTGCTGTCTGCTGCCTGGCTCACACTGCGTGCTGTCTGCTGCCTGGCTCACACTGCGTGCTGTCTGCTGCCTGGCTCACACTGCGTGCTGTCTGCTGCCTGGCACACTGCGTGTTGTCTGCTGCCTGGCTCACACTGCGTGTTGTCTGCTACCTGGCTCACACTGCGTGTTGTCTGCTACCTGGCTCACACTGCGTGTTGTCTGCTACCTGGCTCACACTGCGTGTTGTCTGCTACCTGGCTCACACTGCGTGTTGTCTGCTACCTGGCTCAACACTGCGTGTTGTCTGCTACCCTGGCTCACACTGCGTGTTGTCTGCTACCTGGCTCACACTGCGTGTTGTCTGCTACCTGGCTCACACTGCGTGTTGTCTGCTACCTGGCTCACACTGCGTGTTGTCTGCTACCTGGCTCACACTGCGTGTTGTCTGCTACCTGGCTCACACTGCGTGTTGTCTGCTACCTGGCTCACACTGCGTGTTGTCTGCTACCTGGCTCACACTGCGTGTTGTCTGCTACCTGGCTCACACTGCGTGTTGTCTGCTACCTGGCTCACACTGCGTGTTGTCTGCTACCTGGCTCACACTGCGTGTTGTCTGCTACCTGGCTCACACTGCGTGTTGCCTGCTACCTGGCTCACACTGCGTGTTGTCTGCTGCCTGGCTCACACTAGGTGTTGTCAGTTAGTTTAATATGTTTATTATGCACCCCATACCCATTCTGTGGAAGGTAGTCAAAAATATTAGAGGTACATAATGGGTCCTGGGACTGGGTCCCAAAGTTTTGATAGCTGAACAAATTACTAAGGCAGTGTTGTAGTAGCAACTAACCAGTAATATATTGGTACTTAGTGGAGTGGAGTGACTTTCATTAGTTTTTTCTCCATTCTTGAAATACCAGACATATACAGTGAAATTTATATAACCTGTAGTTACCAGCGATCGCAATATACACAACGAAAAGCAAATATCACTCCAGAAAAAGCGACTTTCCTCCAATAATTTCACCAATCAACTATAGTGATAATATAGCATTTGTTGTGGTGGAGACGAAAAAAATCCTAGAAAATCTAGAAAGTGATCGATAATCATTCAGGCTGTAAATAAAGGTTAGTTAGTTTAATATGTTTATTATGCACCCCATACCCATCCTGTGGGCGGTAGTCAAAAGATTACAGAGGTACATAATTGGTCCAGGGACTGGGCCTCAAAGTTTTGATAGCTGAGCAAGTTACAGAGGTAATGAATTCACAATTTACAAAGGTAATGAACTCACAATTTACAAAGGTAATGAACTCCAGGTAGGTCTAGTCACAATCATGACAAGTTACAAAGGTATTTACAGATTACAGAGGTACACAATGGGTCCAGGGACCGGGCTCCAAAGTTTTGATGGCTGAACTAGGTACAAGGTAATGAACTCACAAGTTACAAAGGTAATGAACTCACAAGTTACAAAGGTAATGAATACTGTAAGAATGGTTACTTACGTTTATACATGGTCTCGACCGTTCGTCATTGTAGGAGCTGCCAGAAATCACCGGTTCTTCAACACGCAAGTTATACTTTTGTATCACTCTAATCACATATTACTCGGTTAAATAATTTCCAGTAGTTCCTTCATGTGTTAGCCCAAATCACCGACCAGGTATGTTTTAAATAAGTGACCCACTGATCAGATCAGACTGGTTCCGAACCCTTGGCTGATCCGAACCCTTGAGGTTTCAAATGGATTCATAGGATAATAAAGCAGACTGTAAACAGACAGGGTTTTAGGTGCCCTTATCAAACGCAAACAATGAATATAAAACAGGAACGTACACCGGTAAGCTGTCCTAATATACAAGTACAGTTAGAAATAGAAATACAAATAGCCAGATATTCACTTTAAGGAGGTATTCGTATAATATTCAAGGGGCTACTAGTAGAACTATAGTAAATCAACCATTCAAATCACATTATGAAGCTCTGTGTAGTCTGCAGTCAAACAAACGGGCTTCCGCATGGATTACTTGCCATTTTTGTGAAAATTGGTGTCACGGCCCTTGTGCAGATATCCAAGAACTATCTACAAGCCGTATTAAATCAGGGAAGTGTTTTTGGGTATGCCCAAATGAGATAAATCTGTGGATTAAAATCACATTGGTATTAAAAGATAACATCAAAGCAGCCTTCACAGAAAACCTGGAAGCATTCTATACAGATGGGAAAATAAAAAGTCTGGGCTGGATGGTATCGCCCTTGGTCCTGGCCATATAGTCAGAAACTGTAAGGCTGGAGGTGCTGTCCTGGGTGACAGTAATGGTGAAGCTGGAGGTGCTGTCCTGGGAGACAGTAATGGTGAGGATGGAGGTGCTGTCCAGGTAGTCAATGTACGCATGAGGGAATGCATATAAATGGCCTCGAGGGAGACAGGAGCTGTAGTGGGGAAACAAATGTAGTTAAGGACAAAATAAAACCAATATTACAAACTAGTAATACCACAGGAGATAGCAAACGAGGGGACTCCACTAGCAATAGTGAGGATATATTACCAGAAACAACTGGTGAGAGCTCCATTGTTAGTACTAGTGAGGATAGGAATGAGACAGGAAAACATGCACCAACAGGGAATACAGTCACAGAAACCCAAGGCAAACGGAAACCAAGCCTGTACACATACTATGCACTTGGTATCTGCAGGCATGGGAAATCTGGAAAAACAGATGGGACGTGCAACTATGACCACCCTAGAAAATGCCGTGCCCATATGACAACAGGAAAATGCAAACTCACTTCCTGTAAGCTTTTTCACCCTGAAATGTGTCCCTCTTCAGTACAGGAAAGACTGTGCTGTAACTTAAATTGTCAGGCACACCATCTAAAGGGAACAAAAACATACAAAACATCCAGACCATGGGAAAACCTGGGTAGCCACAGCCACTCAAGAGGGAGAGGTTTTTTAGTGCCAGGAAGGAAAAAAAAAACTGGCAGGAAATGGCAGAAATCGTACACCAAATCCAGTCATTTCTAGAGTAGAACCACAGTCGATGGCCTCCATTCAAAACCAACAGATACAGATACTAGTGCCGGTAAAAAGTCCCCCCCCCCCCCAGTACCACCATTCCAAGGACATTCATCTTTCCAAATATACAGGGTCTAAAGCCAGCAACGAACAAAATACCTTTCATCCGTGGGCTGCTTGCAGAGGCAAATGCAATGTTCGCGGCTTTCACAGAGACCCACATAAAGGATCACTTGGACAACGAAATGTGGATCCCAGGTTACAACCTATACAGATGTGACAGTGAACAGGCAAAAGGGGGGGGGGGGGTGGCCTGTACATCGCAGAGTCACTTGTTTGCACAGAACTGCTTAATGCCTCAAATGATGTAGTGGAAGTTTTAGCAGTAAAGAACGAGAACCAAAACCTAGTCATTGTGGTAGGCTACAAGCCTCCTGATGCAACGTCCCAGCAATTCTAGGAACAGCTGTCAAAAATTGACCACTGTCTGGAAAATCTGCCAGCTCTGGCCCCCAACATCTTGCTCCTGGGGAATTTCAACTTGAGGCACCTAAAATGGAGGAATATAGCAAATAATGTTGTTGCAGTGATAACACCAGGAGGCAGCTCTGACGAAAACTCACTCACACACACACACACACACACACACAACACACACACACACACACACACACACACACACACACACACACACACACACACACACACGGGCTTTTAAATCTCTGCACAAATTTCAACTTAAGCCAGCAAACAGAGCCTACTAGACTGGAAAATACACTAGACCCCATCTTCACTAACAATGATGATCTGATACGAAATGTCACCATATCAAAAACAATATACTCAGATCACAACATAATCGAGGTTCAGACCTGTATGCGTGGAGCCCCCAGACCGACAAAATGAGATTAGTCATGAGGGAGCCTTCACCAAATTCAACTTCAATAACAAGAACATAGTGTGACCAAGTAAATAAAGTCCTAAACGATATAAGCTGGGAAGATATACTAAGCAACACAGACCCCAACTTATGCCTAGAACAGATTAACTCATTGGCACTCGATGTATGCTCAACGCTTATTCCTTTAAGAAAAAGGAGTAGTAGATGTAAAATAGAAAGATAGGCGCTCCCTTTACAGGCGACGGAAAAGAATAAGAGAGCGGCTAAAAGAGGTCAATATATCTGAAATGCGTAGGGAGTCACTGGTCAGAGAAATAGCAAACATCAAACTTAAGCTAAAGGAATCTTATAGGAGTCAGGAATCGCGGGAAGAACTAAAAGCCATAAATGAAATCGAAAGAAACCCAAAGTATTTCTTTTCTTATGCCAAATCCAAGTCGAGAACAACATCCAGTATTGGGCCCCTACTTAAACAAGATGGGTCCTACACAGATGACAGCAAGGAAATGAGTGAGCTACTCAAGTCCCAATATGACTCAGTTTTTAGCAAGCCGATAACCAGACTGAGAGTCGAAGATCAAAATGAATTTTTTATAAGAGAGCCACAAAATTTGGTTAACACAAGCCTATCTGATATTATCCTGACACCAAATGACTTCGAACAGGCGATGACATGCCAATGCACTCTGC